GCTCTAAACGCCGCCCGCCGTCGCCGCTGCCGCCGGGCCTCGCCCGCGCCCCCCGCCGCCACGCCCGCGCCGCGCCCCGCGCCGCGCCGCCGCCCTCGCCGCGCCACGCGCGACGCAGCTGCTGCTGCTGCTCGCTGCTGCCTGCTGCTTACCTCCCAGATCAGCCCAGTCCTCGCGCCCGGAGTCCCGACGCCGAGTCCCGAAGGGGTCCGCACAGCTGGGTCGCTCGACTCGTTCCATCGTTTCTGGCGCAGGCACGCGAAGCGACGACGTGGCACATCCAGGCAATTGAACTGGAATCGTTTGGATCCCAGTAAATGGATAGTGATGTTTCAATTGAGTGAATGGGATCAATTAGGTGAATGAATGCTCCAATTGGCATGATGTGATTAATTTGAATGAAATGGGTTAACATGGCCTCGTCAGTCTAGATTTCTTCCAGTAGTGTGCAGGGCGTTCAATTGGAGTTATTTTGAAAGACACTGCTGATCCACATAGGTCAAATAAAGATCAGTTGGGGAATGGAGTCATGCACGGAACTGGATCCTAAACAGATTACGCTCGAGCCACCACTCCGCACATTGTCACACAACTCCGGTAAGATGCCAGGCCCAGTTCGGGACAGGGTTTCGCTCGCCATGACATCTTTCCGCGCATTCTTTTACTCGCGATCGAGCAGCTCCTCCGAGATTGTTCCGTAGAGCGCTCCGCAACTCCTCAGGTTCCAATTTTCCTTATTTTGTCCTTACCCATTTTTTAGTTTGTCTGCTTAACATATTAATTATTATCCAGGTAGCACAAATCCGCCGTCCACACTTGAATTCGAATTTAAACTGAAATTCCTAAAATATCCGCAAACAGCCAAGCTCGCCGAGGCACGGAGTCGACTCCGGGAATCAGAGCACCCTGGGGAGCGCAGGCTGCTCGGACCGTATATAAATACTCTTCGCTGACAACGTGGTATATTCAGAATCCATGTTTTGTGGGTCCTCTAATCATCCCGACAAAATTGAAATGACGACAACACGTTTGTCTGTCCATACGTCTGGTTCGTCCTGTGTCCGGCTTTTTGAACAACGCTACTGGCGCCAACGCCATTTCAGCCCTGACCTCTTCTCCTTCACAATCTCCTTATTACCCAATCGATCTTTCGCTATTATATGGTTCTGGAAGTGTGTTTTTATGTAACTAGCAATGCGTAAGCATCCTTAATGAAATATTGTAAGAACCTTATGCGGCCAATATTACATGCTGTGGTTGCACAGTAAGCACAAATATAACAAAATAAAAATGTCACGAAAACTCAATAATCTTGACCTGTCAATGCAAAAACACTTCCAGTACAAACAAGTCTTGGAGATCCCAATGTTCTTTTTTCTTGTAGAAAATCAAAATGCTCACATAAGAATTAATGTTTTTATTAACTATAATTATTTTCATTACCCTTCTCGATTGTGTATTGAAAAGCAGTTAACAATTAAATGATAACATACACTGTAGGCGAACCATTGCAAATGTATGCCTCATCCCGTTGTCATCTTTTCTGGATAATTTAACAAATAAATCATTCAGCAAACTCAAACGGCTTTCTAGCAGCCTCTCAGCCTCTCAACATTTGTCTTTCTGCATGATGATACGTCGGTCTTCTGAATATTATTCCTGAAATAATAACATATTTATAACATGTGCCACTAATCCACCCCATTCTATGACCTACTCCTCTGCATTTAGGTCACGTAAAATATCAATTTAAACGCAAACCGTGTGAGCATAATCTGTGTACTAGCCCATTTCAAAAGAGTCGAACAAACAGATACCTCATCTTCGTGCAAAAGCGGCAGCTGGTGATGCCCAGTTTCCCAACGAAATGAGCCTCTTCTTTATTCGCCGTAATACATGAAACCGGGCTAAATGTGTAAATACTCGCGACTGGGCACTGGTGCTTCTCATTGTTCCCTCGCGTCGATATGCCTCACAATCTCGCGGAAGTGTCTACTCCATCATACACAGGATACCACTGAACGGTCAACCGGCCCACTCATCCTACTAGAAAAAAACCAGATCCCTGTCCCGAGAAACCTACCACCGATACTAAATGTTTACTCACGAATGAGATTGGTTGAGCAAGTCAACTGCTTTATCTATGCCAATTTTAAACTTTTTACGAGCAAAAGGTTTTCGTTGGCTTCAAACACTATATTGCACCCGTAAAGTATTGGGTTGCAAGAAAACAACTAGCAGGTCTCTCATTTATCTTCTTCATTCTACAAGTCCTCACGTACTCTTGCAAGTCAGCAATCTTTAATCCTCTTTGTTCAGATAATCAACCGTGAGTAGTTTCAACGCTGCTCGATTTTCAATAAAACCTGGAACGCCTGGTACTCTCCTCTATCCCATAATTAAATCACAATGCAATTAATATGGTAAATATTGTACTCTCTCTTCTCCTGGATTTACAGAAATCACTTAGGATTTCTCCTTATATTCCCACTAAAAATGTGTATGGCAATTAAAGGCATACTATCTATTAAGCTTGTTTCATTTTGAGTAAGTATAGGCTGATCATCCATTCTTATCTATTTTTGCTGTAAATTTTGGAGTCGTCACTTATTAAATTTGTCCGTTGTGCTATCTAATTCGGGCAACTCTTCTACCTAGATGCTGACCCAGACTTCCCGAACGAAGTGACAACAATTCTGTTTCACAATGTGTTCAAATAAATCTTAGTAAACTCTGCATACATAAACATATTGCGACCAAAGAGTGTAATCATCAGAGGGGTATAAATCAAGCGACCTAGAAACGAAGGGTTAGATATCCTAATTGGTCTATAAAACTGGCAATTCGTCCGAACGAATGGAAGCCCCCAGTCGCGAACACCTTTATCTTGCTAAACCTTCTGCTACAGCTTCGCACTTTCTCAGTGCTCGTACATATACTGTTGCTACACGATATGCCCTTTATCCGTGTTTCTAATGTGATGTACTTTTGATGCTAAGTGTCTCTGACACAGTTATTTCATCTGAAATGGTTTTAATTAAACACTTATGTGATATTTTCAAACAACTTTAACTTAAGTTTGATCTTTTTCAAGTGCATTAGACATTGAAATCAACACGCATTAATTACAAAACTTCAATTTATTAATTAAGAAACTTCAAAAGAAATTTTTCTACCCCTTACCGCAAAATCTAAGAATTTTTAAGTGAAATTGTCTTAAATGTAAGCCAGTCCCACCTATATCACCTTGGATAGGAATCAACCGGCTCGTAGTCATCGACCTTTCTTTCATGAATGCTAGGAATGTAGATTAGTTTTGTCACATAGAACTCAAGGTCAATTCAGGTCTACATTTCATCCAATACGACTAGTCGGCCCTTACACCGGATAGCTTCTCTCAGATTTCTTTATCGAATTTTTGATAAACCAATATGGACCAGTTCTTATTGAATGGACTATTAACTTCGCAATAGTAAAACACATTCTGTTTTTCTTTAATCTGATTCATGAGTGTGGTATCAATTTTCGTTAGCTTTAAATTTTTCCCACAACAGACACCAAATTGATTTCTACACTTAATTTGAAATTTTTGAATGGTTTCTTTTTATATTTATTCTGCTAAACTATTCATGCAGAATAATTCTATAGCAATTAACAATATATTATTCGTATACTATTAAAAAAAATTCTTAACACCTATCTCTATTTTGAAACCACTCTGTTAGTTTTTAGCAAAACTTTCTATCTGAAAATGAAAATTTTCATTCCACTATTTCTTTTAGAACTACAGAGATCAAGCTCTTTTAAGAGAAGATACCCCAGACAACATCAATTCTCTTTTATCATTTCCAATGCACGCTTCAGCAAATACCGGCACCGTCAGGTGAACGTCTAGCCTTCTAGATTTTTTAAAGCTAACTAGATATTCAAACATACATTATTGCGCCCGCGCCCTCGCCCGCCCACGCCGACGCAGCTGCTGCTGCTGCTGCTGCTGCTGCTGCTACTCAGATCAGAGTCCTCGCGCCCGGAGTCCGACGCCGAGTCGAAGGGGTCGAAGCTGGAGTCGCTCGACTCGTCCATGTTCCTGCGGCAGGCACGCGAAGCGACGACGGTGGCAATAGGCAATTGAATGGAATCGTTTGGACCCAGTAAAATGGATAAGTGATGTCAATTGAGTGAATGGGATCAATTAGGTGAATGATGTCAATTGGATGATAGTGATAATTGAATGAAATGGGTTAATGGTGTCAGTTAGATTCATTCAGTAGTGTGAATGGGGTCAATTGGAGTTATTTGGAAGAATGTGATCACATAGGTCAATAAGATCAGTTGGGGAATGGAGTCATGCACTGGATGGATCCTAAAAGATTACGCTCGAGCACCACTGCAATTGTCACAAACTCCGGTAGATGCCAGGCCAGTGTGACAGGGTTTCGCTCGCCATGACATCTTTCCCGCATTCTTTTACTGCGATCGAAGAGTCCTCGAGATGTCCGAGAGCGCTCGAACTCTCAGGTTCAATTTTCTTATTTGTCCTTAACATTTTTAGTTTGTCTGTTAAATATTAATTATTATAAGGTAGAAATGCCGTCACATTGAATTGATTTAAATGAAATTTAAAAATATCCCAAAAGCCAAGCCGCCGAGGACGGAGCTCGACTCCGGAATCAGAGCACCCCTGGGGAGCGCAGGCTGCTCGGACGTATATAAATATCTTCTGACACGTGGTATATTCAGAATCCATGTTTTGTGGGTCCTTAATATCGAAAAATTGAATGACGACAAAACGTTTGTCTGTCCATCCGTCTGTTCGTCTGTGTCCGGTTGTGAACAACGCTAGTGGCCAAACCATTTAGCTGATTTTCTTCAAAATTGTTATTACCCAATCGATCTTTCGTATTATATGGTTCTTGGAAGTGTGTTTTTATGTAACTACAATGGTAAGCATTTAATGAAATATTGTAGACCTTATGCGGAATATAATGCTGTGTTCAAGTAAGCAAAATATAACAAAATAAAAATGTCAGAAAATAATAATTTGATGTCAATGAAAACAACTTCCAGTACAAAAGTCTTGGAGATCCCATGTCTTTTTTCTTGTAGAAAATCAAAATGCTCACATAAGAAATTAATGTTTTATTTAACTATAAATTATTTTCATTACCTTCTGATTGTGTATTGAAAAGAGTTAAAATATAATGATAACATACCTGTAGCGAACCATTGCAAATGTATCC